GGATACAGCTACTCAACATTTTATAGCCGTCAAAAACGGTTACGTGATGCAGCATTTAGTGACTGGGACTTGTGGAAACGTTACTGCTCATCTAGAGAAGAGGTGGCAAGGGATAATACAGTAACTTTGCCTTCAAGTTCAACTGTCCAGGGAACAGTGGGTTTACCTAGTACTAGTGAGACCGTCGCTGTTGTTTCACAAATTGAAGAGAATCGTAACATTTATTAATATGTAATAATTAATTTCAACAGAACTTCAGGTTGTTCCTAAAAAGATGACACAAGAAGAGCTGATCAGAAAGTCAATTATGGAATTGTTCCTTCAGAACAATGTAACAGGGGCGCTTGCGCCAAATATCTTGGACTGTATTCGTAAATTTAATCCACATGTGCCAACAACCATAAGAGGCTTGCTAAAAGATAGTGGCATGTGTGTACCTAGATTTCTTGGACAAGGTGTTTACTATCACATTGGACTGAAGGAAAATCTGCAGCGTTATCTAGATAGTTGGCTTGACTACGGTACTTTTCAACATATTGGCTTGCAAATCAACTATGACGGTTTATCTATATCAAACAGTTCTTCGCAGCAATTATGGCCATTCCTAGGTCGTATCACAACTCCATACGTCAGTGACGTTTTTTTAATTGGCATACATGGCGGTTTGAGAAAACCGAGCAACTTCAATGAGGTTGCTATGGACCTATTAGCTGAATTGAAAGATCTTTATAAATACGGTCTATATGTTGAGAAGTGGGGTAGGAGTGTGACTGTCAGTGTTCTAGCATTTATATGTGACACGCCTGCTCGTTCTAATGTGAAACAAACCGTCGGTCACAATGGAAAAACAGGTTGTGATAAATGTGAAGTTATAGGTTGTCGTTTGGAGGGTAGGATGACATTTGCTAATGGGAACCATACACTTAGAAATGATAGGACATTCCGTGGTCAGGTTCAAGCAAGTCACCATCGGGGCAGAAGCTGTCTTGAGGAATTGCCACTTGATATGGTAAAATCGTCTCCCTTGGAGCCAATGCATCTAATATACCTTGGTGTTGTTGTTAAGAAGTTAGTGTTCCTTTGTCAGGGTCTTGCAGCACGGCGAGAGAAGCAAATGGATAGTAAGATTATCGCAGATATTAATAACGGACTGCAAGTAAGTAGGAAACACATTCCTTGCGATTTTCAGAGGAAATGTCGGTCGTTAGATGACGTTAGCCAATGGAAAGCAACTGAGTGTAGACTTTTCTTACTATATTTGGGTCCCGTCCTACTTAGAAACACTCTACCATGCCACCTGTACGCTAATTTCAGGAGATTATCCCTGGCAGTATACTTACTGTCGAGTACCAAATACAGCCGACTGTTTTTCGATGCTGCTCGGACAGATTTGAGTCATTTCTAACTGCAATATGAGAATTGTTTCGGAAATGAACACATTGTTTACAATATACATTCTCTGAAACATATAGCGGATGACGTCGAGCTGCATGGGCCATTGGAAGAATTCAGCGCATTTCCCTTCGAATCATATATGCGCAAGACAAGACAGTCCGTGCACTGTGGTTATGCTGTGGCTAAGCAGGCAGCTAAGCGCTATGTTGAACACGTGTACTTAATGAAAAGTACAGGCGTGAAGCACCTACCTAAAGAAGTTGGTACTAAGTGTGTTGAATTTTGCAAAGGAAAGCTGACGTATCTGAATACCATATTCACATCTTATTCTCCGGATAATGTCATCTTAGCCTTAGGTAAACCAGGGAATATAGTTGAAATAGAAAGTGAAGATAGAATACGTTTTCGACCCTATAGCGATTATAGTGATGATTTCACTACACCGTTTAAGTCAAGGAATTTAGGGATATTTAGATGTTCAAAATTCAGTCACGAAACACACTGGATATCCTATGTGAATATTGTCTGCAAGTGCACGACTGTTCCAACAACTAACGACGAAGTAGTTATCCCCCTGCTTCATACATTTAATTGAGGGTACTGTGCCGTAATTTTTGGCTTGAACTGTTGATATGTAATTCGTCTAAGTTTTTTTGTAACGTCTATTTGTTGTCAAATCCGAAAATCTACCTCTAACTGGCTGATGTTGTTGGTGAAACTGAAGTTCATTTGACAGTTTATTCCGCGTTTTTGAGATATAGGTGTATCCATGCTGTTATTGATTTTAAGCAACCTGATACATGATAAAGTAACAGCCGTATTTACACTTCATCACATATCCTTTTGCAGAATTCTACACCAATCAGATACCTCGTCGTCCGTTCGCTGGAAGATGACACTGTAGTCGCTATCCCAAACACTTGGGTTATGCGAAGTGGTTTATGTGCGTACAGCAGCACAGAAAACCATCTAGAGCCTATGTTTACCGGGGCTGGATGGTCAGTATTTCAATTCCGTCAACTGCAGGAATTTGGTAAGTTGGCATATTTCATTATCACCCTTCTAGATACGTATGAGAACTGTAAAAAGGGTGTAGAGCTTTTGAGAAGCAATGATCAAGGCACCAGGAATGTAGACATGGACGATGATAGGTTGCCAATGCCTAGTAAGAGACCGAAAAGGTAGGTACCGTTGTCTGTCTAACACATTTTTCAGGGATGCCAAGAAAAATGATAAAAATTTCCTTTACAACTCAATGGATATTGATGTAGCCGCCAGTGAGGTTGGTTGCGTCAAACCACAATATCCAGATTATAACATATTTGATGACTTCGTGGCCTCAATTCCAAGGTATTAACCTAATTGAAAGCTCTTCATTTTCAGTACTTCGGGTGCCCCCATATTCCAGTCTTCATCTCCTATTAGCAAAAAGACGTGTGTGTGTGTGTGACCGGTAGGAATAATTGTCACAATTTTTATTCATGCTTTAGATTGGCGTCTAACGAATATGCTACTGAATCCTCAGTTAAGAAATTACTCGGTAATTACTTGAAAATAATTATTTATTTAAAGATACAAATATGGAAGTCATTAACCTGTGCACGAAAATATTGAACATTGTGACTACTGACAGAAAATCTCGACAGCAAACCTACCCTCCAGCAAACGGGGACTTAACACTGCAGTTTCCGATCGAGAATGAAGACCAGTTAGAGATGCTGGAAGCATCTTTAAGAGACGAAAAGTACAAACAGCAATATGTGAGTTGACGCATTTAATTCTTATTTCTTGTGGACTGCTAAGATGGCTAGCTGCCTTCAGAGTGATCCAAAGTTATCACTTAAGGTCATGATGCACCATGTTATAAAACTTGAAGTGGGTTTGAAGTTTACATTCCAGGGGACTTTGACAAAGTCAAGCATTGTGCCTTATGCCCTTTATAAAATAATGAGAAGTAAGTTTCATTAATGAAGTAATTAGTTCTCTAGCTTTAATTATGTCACACTTCTCCGGCCAACTAATGACGACAACTGAGATTGGTGAAATGATGGATAGGGCCACGAAAGCGTACTTTCATAATTTGAAAGATCGTGTCCAAAGGCGTAAGCGGAAGCAAGGAATTCAGGTAATTTTGCGAAACGCCTGCTTACTTCTATAAGTGAACGTTTATTCAACATATAGTAATCACAACATTGTTTTCCTTTTTTAGGCAAATGAAAAAGATACCGGGGGATATAACAGTGGCACTTATGTAAGTAAACTTCTATAAATGTAAATGCTCAGAATGTTCTGAGCACAATTTTTCACCCACTAATATTTCATTTTGCTTATTTGCAGAATGATGCCAGTGGATCGCACTTGACGTGATTGCAGTGACATTGTACTACAGTTTATAAATACAAAAGTCTCAATTAAAAAAACTGATTTCTTCTGCAAACTAAATGAATTTCGCCGGCGTAGGACACAGGTGATTATGATAAGTAGAAGTCTTTTCGTTCTAAAGTAGTGCTAGTCAGCGCTGAAAATGTTCTGAAAGGGCTGAAATAAAGCTGATAAGCAAACTCGGTAGGTTCTGATCTACTCTTAACAATGCTTAAAAGAAGAACACGGTTCTGAATTAGGGCTAGTTATGCTGAAAACTAGCACTGAGTTCTAGTCTGTGCCATTAAACAAACGATTTCAGAACAAATTCAGAATTTACTCACTATAGGATGCTAGAATTATTTCAGAATTACTGAGATTTAATTCAGAATTATAACAAGCACATGGTGGCAATTTTTCAGCCTAATTCAAGCCTTCGCAGATCATTTTCAGCACTGACTAGCACTACTTTAAAACGAAAAGACTTCTACTTATTATAATCACCTGTGTCCTACGCCGGCGAAATTCATTTAGTTTGCAGAAGAAATCAGTTTTTTTAATTGAGACTTTTGTATTTATAAACTGTAGTACAATGTCACTGCAATCCGTCAAGTGCGATCCACTGGCATCATTCTGCAAATAAGCAAAATGAAATATTAGTGGGTGAAAAATTGTGCTCAGAACATTCTGAGCATTTACATTTATAGAAGTTTACTTACATAAGTGCCACTGTTATATCCCCCGGTATCTTTTTCATTTGCCTAAAAAAGGAAAACAATGTTGTGATTACTATATGTTGAATAAACGTTCACTTATAGAAGTAAGCAGGCGTTTCGCAAAATTACCTGAATTCCTTGCTTCCGCTTACGCCTTTGGACACGATCTTTCAAATTATGAAAGTACGCTTTCGTGGCCCTATCCATCATTTCACCAATCTCAGTTGTCGTCATTAGTTGGCCGGAGAAGTGTGACATAATTAAAGCTAGAGAACTAATTACTTCATTAATGAAACTTACTTCTCATTATTTTATAAAGGGCATAAGGCACAATGCTTGACTTTGTCAAAGTCCCCTGGAATGTAAACTTCAAACCCACTTCAAGTTTTATAACATGGTGCATCATGACCTTAAGTGATAACTTTGGATCACTCTGAAGGCAGCTAGCCATCTTAGCAGTCCACAAGAAATAAGAATTAAATGCGTCAACTCACATATTGCTGTTTGTACTTTTCGTCTCTTAAAGATGCTTCCAGCATCTCTAACTGGTCTTCATTCTCGATCGGAAACTGCAGTGTTAAGTCCCCGTTTGCTGGAGGGTAGGTTTGCTGTCGAGATTTTCTGTCAGTAGTCACAATGTTCAATATTTTCGTGCACAGGTTAATGACTTCCATATTTGTATCTTTAAATAAATAATTATTTTCAAGTAATTACCGAGTAATTTCTTAACTGAGGATTCAGTAGCATATTCGTTAGACGCCAATCTAAAGCATGAATAAAAATTGTGACAATTATTCCTACCGGTCACACACACACACACACACACGTCTTTTTGCTAATAGGAGATGAAGACTGGAATATGGGGGCACCCGAAGTACTGAAAATGAAGAGCTTTCAATTAGGTTAATACCTTGGAATTGAGGCCACGAAGTCATCAAATATGTTATAATCTGGATATTGTGGTTTGACGCAACCAACCTCACTGGCGGCTACATCAATATCCATTGAGTTGTAAAGGAAATTTTTATCATTTTTCTTGGCATCCCTGAAAAATGTGTTAGACAGACAACGGTACCTACCTTTTCGGTCTCTTACTAGGCATTGGCAACCTATCATCGTCCATGTCTACATTCCTGGTGCCTTGATCATTGCTTCTCAAAAGCTCTACACCCTTTTTACAGTTCTCATACGTATCTAGAAGGGTGATAATGAAATATGCCAACTTACCAAATTCCTGCAGTTGACGGAATTGAAATACTGACCATCCAGCCCCGGTAAACATAGGCTCTAGATGGTTTTCTGTGCTGCTGTACGCACATAAACCACTTCGCATAACCCAAGTGTTTGGGATAGCGACTACAGTGTCATCTTCCAGCGAACGGACGACGAGGTATCTGATTGGTGTAGAATTCTGCAAAAGGATATGTGATGAAGTGTAAATACGGCTGTTACTTTATCATGTATCAGGTTGCTTAAAATCAATAACAGCATGGATACACCTATATCTCAAAAACGCGGAATAAACTGTCAAATGAACTTCAGTTTCACCAACAACATCAGCCAGTTAGAGGTAGATTTTCGGATTTGACAACAAATAGACGTTACAAAAAAACTTAGACGAATTACATATCAACAGTTCAAGCCAAAAATTACGGCACAGTACCCTCAATTAAATGTATGAAGCAGGGGGATAACTACTTCGTCGTTAGTTGTTGGAACAGTCGTGCACTTGCAGACAATATTCACATAGGATATCCAGTGTGTTTCGTGACTGAATTTTGAACATCTAAATATCCCTAAATTCCTTGACTTAAACGGTGTAGTGAAATCATCACTATAATCGCTATAGGGTCGAAAACGTATTCTATCTTCACTTTCTATTTCAACTATATTCCCTGGTTTACCTAAGGCTAAGATGACATTATCCGGAGAATAAGATGTGAATATGGTATTCAGATACGTCAGCTTTCCTTTGCAAAATTCAACACACTTAGTACCAACTTCTTTAGGTAGGTGCTTCACGCCTGTACTTTTCATTAAGTACACGTGTTCAACATAGCGCTTAGCTGCCTGCTTAGCCACAGCATAACCACAGTGCACGGACTGTCTTGTCTTGCGCATATATGATTCGAAGGGAAATGCGCTGAATTCTTCCAATGGCCCATGCAGCTCGACGTCATCCGCTATATGTTTCAGAGAATGTATATTGTAAACAATGTGTTCATTTCCGAAACAATTCTCATATTGCAGTTAGAAATGACTCAAATCTGTCCGAGCAGCATCGAAAAACAGTCGGCTGTATTTGGTACTCGACAGTAAGTATACTGCCAGGGATAATCTCCTGAAATTAGCGTACAGGTGGCATGGTAGAGTGTTTCTAAGTAGGACGGGACCCAAATATAGTAAGAAAAGTCTACACTCAGTTGCTTTCCATTGGCTAACGTCATCTAACGACCGACATTTCCTCTGAAAATCGCAAGGAATGTGTTTCCTACTTACTTGCAGTCCGTTATTAATATCTGCGATAATCTTACTATCCATTTGCTTCTCTCGCCGTGCTGCAAGACCCTGACAAAGGAACACTAACTTCTTAACAACAACACCAAGGTATATTAGATGCATTGGCTCCAAGGGAGACGATTTTACCATATCAAGTGGCAATTCCTCAAGACAGCTTCTGCCCCGATGGTGACTTGCTTGAACCTGACCACGGAATGTCCTATCATTTCTAAGTGTATGGTTCCCATTAGCAAATGTCATCCTACCCTCCAAACGACAACCTATAACTTCACATTTATCACAACCTGTTTTTCCATTGTGACCGACGGTTTGTTTCACATTAGAACGAGCAGGCGTGTCACACATAAATGCTAGAACACTGACAGTCACACTCCTACCCCACTTCTCAACATATAGACCGTATTTATAAAGATCTTTCAATTCAGCTAATAGGTCCATAGCAACCTCATTGAAGTTGCTCGGTTTTCTCAAACCGCCATGTATGCCAATTAAAAAAACGTCACTGACGTATGGAGTTGTGATACGACCTAGGAATGGCCATAATTGCTGCGAAGAACTGTTTGATATAGATAAACCGTCATAGTTGATTTGCAAGCCAATATGTTGAAAAGTACCGTAGTCAAGCCAACTATCTAGATAACGCTGCAGATTTTCCTTCAGTCCAATGTGATAGTAAACACCTTGTCCAAGAAATCTAGGTACACACATGCCACTATCTTTTAGCAAGCCTCTTATGGTTGTTGGCACATGTGGATTAAATTTACGAATACAGTCCAAGATATTTGGCGCAAGCGCCCCTGTTACATTGTTCTGAAGGAACAATTCCATAATTGACTTTCTGATCAGCTCTTCTTGTGTCATCTTTTTAGGAACAACCTGAAGTTCTGTTGAAATTAATTATTACATATTAATAAATGTTACGATTCTCTTCAATTTGTGAAACAACAGCGACGGTCTCACTAGTACTAGGTAAACCCACTGTTCCCTGGACAGTTGAACTTGAAGGCAAAGTTACTGTATTATCCCTTGCCACCTCTTCTCTAGATGAGCAGTAACGTTTCCACAAGTCCCAGTCACTAAATGCTGCATCACGTAACCGTTTTTGACGACTATAAAATGTTGAGTAGCTGTATCCAAGGCATTCATGCAGTCTGCCAGAAGATATTCTTCTCTTACGACTTGTTGTAGAATGTTGAATACCCGTATTATCGGAGTTGTTTTCCTTATAAGAGAATTGGAGAAATATACACCCAAAAATCTAACTCACCTGCATGATTTATAGATCCTGTAAGAATGATCTCTGTATGTACGGAGTACTTACTGCTTATATACCTCTATGCAAACATCCGTTCTTTTAATATGAAAAGGGATGACGGGTGAACTGTTATCACAAATGTTAACATTTTCCTTATGGGAAGTATATGTTTTCGTCTATGAATCAGATGTTCAGGTCAAACATGCCTTCTAAATCCTCCGACCGTCGTCCTAAATCTCCTCAACGCAGGAACTCACGTGGTCGATCTAAGTCCAAACCACGTTCACTGTAAAACCCTGACTGGTGCTGGTACCACAACACCTATGGCCAAGAAGCGAAGTGTTGCCGTAAGCCTTGTAACTTCGGAAATGTCTCAAAGTCTGTTTGAAACTATCCCGCCGGCACGCGTTAGCGGCAACCGTCGCCGGTGGCACTAGCCGCCTGCTTTACATCCATGATGTGATAAGCCAGACTCGATACTTAGTTGACACAGGAGCCGAAGTCAGCGTCCTTCCTGCTACAGCAGCAGATCGACAGAAGGAACCTACCTTCAACTTACAGGCTGCAAATTGAAAACCAATCGCAACCTTTGGTAGGAAATACGTCTATATGAACGTAGGTTTACGCAAACCTATTCGGTGGATCTCCCTTCTCGCTGACGTTACAATGCCTATCATTGGCACGGACCTACTTAATCATCATGATTTACTCTTAGACGTCCGCCGAAAACGACTGATTGACAATACTACTAGTCAGTCTATCAAAGGCATCAGCTACATAGGCCCTAGTTTGTCACCCGTTAAGATAAAGGCAATTCTTGATCCAACTTTTCAACCTATTGTTGACAAGTATCCGGAACTTAACTGCCCGTCGAACGACCTACCGTGCATAACCAGCAATGTTATGCACCACATACTACCGCGCGATTTTTGAAAAGGGAGTTAATTTTCACGCTCTTGTTTATAATTGGATTTTGTTGTGTTATACGCTTCAAAAGTCCACAGATTTAACTTTAAATCAGTTTATTCTGGTCGAAGTTAGTTTACGTTTCAGATCTGAGTCTATTAATTATAATAAGTGTTCTTATAACATAATAGCCACATATATCTATCTTTGTGCACTCATTAGCTTTTATCACTGATTTACAAAGGTTATATATATATATATTTGAAGTTGTATTTAACTTTTCCTGGTTCGTTTTAAATAAAATGCCTATTAAAAGAAACCGCTGCGGAAGGGCTATGTGCCAGTTTCCAGTGGATGAGGGAATGCAGTGTGATAACTGCAAGAGATGGTTTCACAGTATGTGCACGAACCTTACTCCAGCAGCATACAAACGCTGCTGCAAACCTCTAGCGAACTGGTTATGCAACGACTGCTGTAGTACAACTAAACTCCGTATTACAGAAGCCATAGCTACTCTTAGTGGGGCTTTAAAGCTCATGGACTGCAAGCGTCCTCCACCACAGAAGAATACCGACTATTGCTCAGATAGCGATGACGTGACTAGCGTCATTGACAAAACAGCACATGTCCCAGATGCGACCTTGCCAATAAGTGAGTGCTCTACAGCACAGAAGAACACCCACCATATTACAGACACCCAGGTCGCCCCCACGATACTGGATGAGCCCTCCAGTGACAGTAATGGAAAGACTGCCGTGAAGAAGAGGCGTACTAGGGGTCGAAAACCTGCAGCTCCAGTCGCCCAGGGACTGGCGGAACAAGCCTCATCCACACCGGTGAGCAGCAGACAGACGAACCCCACTAAGATTAGCGAGGAGGACGCCAATGAATGGCGCACCGTAGTCTCTCGCAAAAAGCGAGATAAGGATAACACTTCGGCCACACCGCCCAAGAAGGATAGAAACACACTTACGCCTCAGGGCAAGAAAGTAACGGAAAGCAAACCCGATCTCTCTGATAGGTCTCTCATTCTCCACAAAGTGGAGGAGTCACTGGCTCTCGACCCTAAGACCAGATTCGAGCATGACCTTAACTTGGTCAAGCCCCTTTTAGACAAGCTACTGCCACAAACAGTATCAGGCATTACTATACACAGCGTATACAGAATAGGTCAAAAGCCTGACCCTACAGTAAGTGAACCTGTACGTCTCCTCAAAGTCGTACTAAACTCTAAAGCGGAGAGGGACGCTATTCTAAGCAACTCTCATATTCTCAAAGGATCAGGGATATATGTCCGCGCTGACTTAAGCCTGGCAGACCGTGTCAAAAGACAGGCTGCGGCACTAGAATTAAGTGAGCGACGCCGGAACGGTGAGAAGAACCTTAAGATTAAGGGTTTTCGGGTTGTCCGAGTTCGCAGTTTAATGATCCCGAAACCTCTGTGGGTGGGCCGGGGAAGCACCAATCTGAATTAACAGTCTGCTACACAAACGCCCGCAGCCTGTTAAATAAAAGGACTGAGCTGGCAAACATGATAGAAACCGGAAACCCGGATGTAATTATTATCACAGAGACATGGCTCACACCCGATGTCACTGACAACGAAGTTAACCTGCCAAACTTCGAAGTGCACAGGGTAGACCGACTAAACCGCAAAGGAGGGGGCGTAGTCATCTACCTCAAGAAAGGCTTAACCGTGCGTAGTATCGAAGCACTCGCCCACGAAAGTGAGTCGTGCGAACTTCTACGCTGCAGACTTAAATGCATAGGCCAAGACATTGACCTCATTGCTGTGTACCGCAGTCCTGACTGCAGTGCAGACGACTTCCTAATAGAGAAGCTAGGCTCCTGGACTTCAAAATGTCGAAGTCTCGTAGTCGGTGACTTCAACGCCCCAACAGTTGACTGGTCGAGCCTAACAACTCCATCTTCAGTCAACTCCTTTGACCATAAACTGCTAGAATCTAGTATATCGCTAGCCCTAGTCCAACATATCATTAAGCCCACGCGCTATGACTCACAGCACTCCTCATCAACTCTGGACCTAGTGTTCTCACACGGTGAGGATGTGGATCTCATACAACATCTTCCTCCGTTAGGAAGAAGTGACCATGCTGTGCTCACTTTCAAGTTCACAGCAACGGCAGCAAGGGCCAAAACCCCAGCTCGACCAAACGTTTGGAAAGCTGACATAAATGCGATCGTCTCAGCAGCCAACTCAGTAAACTGGTACATCAATCCAGAGTCCCAAGTAGAAGCCGCATGGAACCAATTTAAGCAACTTTACGCCCAAGTAACTGTACCCTTCATCCCTTGGTCTGTTCCAAAGGGTCGGAAACATTCCCCCCCTTGGATAAACCGGGAGATTCGTAAGTTACTCAGACGTAAACGCAAATGTTGGAACCTGTTTGCAACACTTGAGACTTCTGAGACCAGGGAATTATATACTACTGCTAGAAATAAAGCTATCGCAGAAATCCGCCAATCAAGGATGAAGTTCGAGACACACCTGGCCCAAAATGCAAAGGCACAACCTAAGAAAATTTTCTCGTACTTGAATTTCAGGAATAAAACACCCAATGGTGTCCCAAACCTGATTATTGACAAAGATACAATCGAAGAAGATCAAGAAAAAGCAGAAGCAATGGCAAACTACTTCTCCCAAGTCTTCACTCAGGAGTCATCACTGCCTATAGGATCAGCTCTGGCTGCATCAGAAGAACATGGGATAGATTCCGTTGACATCGACCAAGGCATCGTGCTCAACTTCTTAATGAAACTAGATGCAGGAAAATCAATGGGTCCTGACAGTCTTCATCCAAGGCTTCTCAAGGAGCTATCAGCCCACATAGCCGGCCCCTTGACCACGATCTTCAAGCTATCTCTCCAAAATGGAGTGTTGCCACGTGATTGGAAAGACGCCATAGTAACCCCCATACACAAAGGAGGATCAAGACAAAGCCCTTCAAATTACAGGCCTATCAGTCTCACCAGCACTTTAATCAAGACACTGGAAAGAATTATCAAGAAAAGCATCATGGCTTATCTGGAAAATAGCAGCTTGTTATCTGGAGCACAGCATGGCTTCCGGAGGAACCTCTCATGCCTGTCAAATCTCCTGACTGCAAGAGAAAGCTGGGTCAAATCAAAGGATAACAGAAGACCCGTTGACGTCGTCTTCATAGACTTCAGTAAAGCCTTTGATAAAGTACCTCACAAAAGACTACTCATGAAATTGGAAAGTCTTGGTATCAAAGGCAGACTACTAGACTGGCTCAGGGAATTCCTCATAGATAGGAGGCAGAGGGTTAGGATCAACTCAAAACTCTCCTCCTGGACAGCAGTAAGTAGCGGAGTGCCACAAGGCACGGTTCTCGGTCCTCTCCTTTTTATTCTGTATATCAATGAGTTACCTCTGCTCACCGACTCCCCTATGGTCCTATACGCAGATGACTTAAAAATTTGGAGGGAGCTGAAGGGCAACAGTGATACGTCCACCTTGCAAGACGACCTCAACAAACTGTCGGAGTGGTCTGTTGAATGGATGCTCCCGATCAACGTGGCAAAATGTGCAACCATGCGCATTGGACAAGCAAGCACGAGCTCCTACGAACTAGAGGGAATAACACTTCCATCAGTTCAGACTCACTTGGACTTAGGTGTCATAGTTAGCCACGACTTAAAAACTACAGCACACTGTCGCGCGGTGGCTGCACGTAGTTTCAGGTCCTTATGGGCGATTCGCAGAGCCTTTACAAGAATTACCAGAGATATGTTCACCTCCTTATACATATCTCTGGTTAGGTCAAGACTGGAAAACTGCATCCAGGCCGCCAGTCCGTGTCTAAAAGGGGATTCACACATTCTAGAAAGTGTTCAAAGGAAGGCAACACGTATGGTTCACGGCATAGCTAACTTATCATATGAGGAAAGACTAGATAGTTTAAATCTCTTCTCACTGTCATACCGTAGGCAGAGAGGAGATTTAATCACAATGTTTAAAATTTTAAATAATGACTACGGACCTGACCTATTCTTTCTTTTCCTTCCCACCAGGTCGGAACACCTTAGAGGACATAGCAGGAGAGTTCAAAAGCCAAGGAGAAATCATATTGCTGTTGAGTACTGGTTCTCACATCGAGTCATAAACTCTTGGAACCGACTCCCAGAAGAAGTGGTGTCTGCAACCTCAATTGATTCGTTCAAGAAGGGTTTGGACAACCACAGAAATCTACTAGAAAAGGATTAACATAGGCTGCAAGCCTTCTATCCTCAACCAATAAATCTGAAATCTGAATTACCACAGGACAACCTGTGACATCTAAAGCACGACGATTAGCTCCTGACAAACTGAGAATCGCCAGGAATGAATTTGACCATATGCTTACCCTTGGCATCATTCGACCTTCGAATAGCCCGTGTGCATCCCCACTTCATATGGTTCCGAAAAAGAATAGCAACGATTGGCGACCCACCGGTGATTACCGGCGAGTGAATGCCAAAACAACCCCTGATTGCTACCCGTTGCCTCATATACACGACTTGACGGCAACCTTATCCGGCGCGACTATATTCTCCAAAATCGACTTGGTTAAAGCGTATAACCAAATCCCGATGGCAACAGAAGATATCCCGAGAACGGCTATCATTACGCCTTTCGGACTTTTTGAATTTCTACGTATGCCATTCGGTCTCCGGAATGCAGCCCAAACATTCCAACGCTTCATTGACGAAGTATTTCGCGGTCTCGACTTTGTATACGCATACTTAGACGACTGCCTCATTGCCAGTCGTGACAAGGAAACTCACCTTAGGCACTTGGACTTGGCATTTGACAGGTTACGCCAACATGGTGTTCCCATTAATATTCAAAAATGTCAAATCGGTGTTGACTCACTCGACTTCCTGGGTCACACTATTGACTGCAAGGGCATTCGCCCACTGGCTACTAAGGTCGAGGCTATACTGAACTTTCCAGAGCCACAGACAGTGAAAAGTCTCCGCACTTTTAACGGCTTAGTAAGCTATTATCGACGCTTTATTCCCAACTGTGCCTCTTTGATTCAGCCATTAACAGACCTCTTTCGAGGGAATAAAAAGTCCGTAGAACTTGACGCGTCTGCTCGAAATGCTTTTACCCAGGTTAAAAAAGCTATTGCGAATGAGGTGACTCTAAAGAATAGCGGCCAAACCGAAACGACCTTCGAACAAAAAAGTGACCTTGAGCAAGGAATCAGCTGACTGTGTCATTTTCGGAAGCAATCATGGATGTTTTCGATTACTGTTTGGATAACGGACTGATAGCTTTGTCAAAAATTTGCCAATACGGAGAAGTTATGCATATACAAAAATACACAGAGGCCATTGATGGCTTTGTATACAGATGTATTGAGTGCCAAATGATCCTTCCTCAGGAAATCGGTTCGAGAAGGTTTGTCGTTGTTTTTTAGTTTACAGATCCCTTAGGAACTTTTCTCTCTAGGTCTAAACTACCTTTGACGAAAATTTTAATGATCTGTAACTTCTGGGTCCTGAAAAGAGCAGTCACAGCTACAGCTTATGAAACAGAAAATTCAGGTGTCAGCAGTGCAATGGTACAACTACTGCAGAGATGTTTCCTCCTGGAAAATGAACACCCTGACTCAAGTTCTCGGGGGAGTCGGCAGCATAGTCCGTATTCATGAGACTGTACTTGTAAAAAGGAAATACAACCGCGGGAGATTACAAGCAAACCAGCAGTGGATACTGGGTATCTACGACACGACACTGCGTAAAGGGTATATGGAAGCGATTCCCAATCGCAGTGCAGCAGTATTAGTGCCTATTAATAAGCGTTTGGTGTTGCCGGGGACGACCATTCATACGGATAAATGGAGCGGATACCGGATACCGTCGAATCATGGGTACATTCATCATGTTGTTAATCATACGGACGGTTTCCGGAATCCTTTGGATGGAACCCACACCAGTTCCAGTGAAAGATTTTGGAGTCGTCTAGAAAGACGTATAGGAGCGGTTAATGGATCGAGAAATCCCATGATTCACAGTTACCTGGATGAATTTATGTACCGAAACTGGTTTCATATGACTATGAAGACTCCCATGAGAAACTGAGAGGTTTTTTTGCAACATATACGCGAACGCCATTCTTTGTAACTGTTTATTAAGATTGCATTACTTCTATATAAACCGTTTTTTACAATTATGCGCCTTTCTTTTTGAGCCTTCTCATTGGCCGAAGTTGTCCCTGTCAAGGTCATTTTTGCGTTAAAAGGTCGTTTCGGTTTGGGCCGCTATTATATTATATTATATTATATATAAGCTTTATTCCAAATCAGTACTTGTGATACAGAATGGAATTCTCAGCATTTTACTACAATATTGCATCCAGTTTTTTGTTTACATTAACAATAAATAAAGTTCTACATAGTTTAAAGATTATCTCAACAACATATTAGTATGTCGGTAGCAAAGCCAAAATTAAAATGTTTGAAGGTGTTACAAAAGTAGATACTACTAGCATATTTACTGGCGTAAGCGATAGCAAAATGGTCGAGATATACAGAGTGTAAAAGAACGAACAAGAATGTTTTAAGTAGAGTTTGCAAGGAAGAGAGAAACAAAACAGCACATAACAAAAATAAATACAGAATGAAGAGAGAGAAAACGTTGTACCTATAAATGATGTGAGTTGGAAAGACGAGATTCATTGGTTCTAGTGACTATTTAATAAGTTAAAGGTTTCATGCCTGATGCATTCTTTATCACACAGAACACGGGCTAGGTAGGGTATGGATGAGTTTTTGTACTTACTAGTGCGAGCATATAGTTTCCTATATAGACTTCTTGTTTTCCCTGAAGAGATACATGGGGAGAGTTGTGAGTGTAGAGGGTGTTGTGAGTCAGATAAAATGGACTTCGCCCATTTTTCACATGAGTCCATGTGCCTGTCCACCAGAATGTTAACAAGCTGGCTAAGTGGCAAACTGCTTACCCTGCTGACAACCTTTAACATCCTACGTAATAAGGTATAGTCTTTCTTCAATAGCCCAGGAAAGACTAAGGGGGAGCAATAGAGAATTATAGGCAGAATACGGGAGTTAACAAATTGTAGTAGTAAGGGTTGGGTTACACCAGAATGTCTTAACTTCTTGATGTAGAAGGTAAGACGGTATATTTTCTTGGAAATCGTCAAGATATGAGACGACCAGGAAAGATCAGAAGATAGAGTGACGCCTAGGTATTTAATTTCCGACTTAGTTTCTATTTCAGTGCCATCTATGTTGCACACCTCGTGAGCGCTAACCAGTTTGTTTAGGTCAGATTTATGCCTAAAGGTGAAATTAACTGTTTGGCATTTGGAGGGGTTTAAGGTTAGACCGTTTTCCTTGGACCATTGGCTAATTTCTGATAAGAAGCCATTTAGTTTAGAGCAGTCATTTTGACATTTGACAGGTAAAGATACAGTCAGGTCATCAGCATATTTGACAAAGTTAATATCATTTGAAGACGGTAGGTCATGTAGGAAGAATGAAAAGAGAAGTGGGGAGAGTACAGCACCTTGGGGGACACCAGATTCAGTGAGCACAGCAGAGGAGGATTGACCTTTGTATACGGTGTACTGCATTCTGTTTGAAAAGTAGGAATGCAACCACTTAGTGACCCAAGACTCGGTTTGTGTCGTGGAGAGCTTATTTAGCAAGAGACTTCTAGGTACAGAGTCGAAAGCAGAAGTGAAGTCAAGAAACGTGCAGCGGACATATTTGGCATCTTTGTCTAATGATGAGACAATACTGTTGTGTAAGACGGCTGCAGCGTCTAAAGTACTCCTACCCTGTCTGTAGGCAAATTGTTTGGGGTCTTCGAAGCTTTTAAGGGAGGGTTCGAGTTTAAGAAGTATTAGTTTTTCCATGAGCTTTAGAAACGGGGAAGTGATGGCGATGGGTCTGAACTTTACGTTCTTGCTATTTCCAGGTTTAGGGACAGGGACTATTTTAATGTCTTTCCATGGAACAGGTACAACGTTTTCGGAGAAAGAAGCATTTAGTATATTAGTTAGAGGAGAACATAAAGCATCTGCACATTGTTTTAGGACATATGCAGGTATGCCATCAGGGCCAAGACTATGTGAGGGCTTAAGAGTTTTAAGACATTTCAAAACATCGAGAGTATTGAAGTCCTGGAAGTTATCAGCTACAAGATTGGTAACATTAGGAGTGGTTATGGTAGAAGGAGAGCGTATAAAAGACAGATTAAGAGCATTAACATCACAAGAGGGAAAAACATTACATCGCTTACTATTGCCAGTAATTTCATTGAAAAGTTTCCACATGCTGTTTGGAGATTTGCATGATAAAAGTGTTTGGTTATAGATAGCATTAAGATTCTTGATTTCAGATTTGATTTGAGCGTTTATCTTTTTAAGTCCTAACTTGTCTTTGCATTTATATAACATTTCTTTTTGCCTGCGAAGTTGTTTGAGATGGGGTGACGAGAAGCGGTCGAGGCGTTTGAACAGTGTTTGTTTGGGACAGCATATGTCAAGGCAGAACTTAAGATAGTCCGTTATATTGGCGATTGTATCATCTAATTTACTTTCATTAAATAAATCCCAGTTGGTATCTTTTAACATGCATCTTAGATTGAGTAAGTTGTCAGATGTGTAGCTTCTCTGTTGTGCCTTCGTGGACAGGTGTGAGAAGATTTTAATATGTGTTTTGCTGTATATTTTTGGCAAAACGCGGACAATGCAGTGATCGGAGTTATGTATCGGTGAACGTCTACGTGTTTCATATACTCCTTCATCATTGGTAAAAACCAAGTCAAGGGTTTTGTCAAGTCGAGTGGGAAATTTGACTATATTTGTGTGACCAAGAGCTTCAAGAAAGGAGCAATCTGATGTGTTGAAGTCTCCAGTAATAACGGATAGAGAGTTGTCGAAGTTGGCAGCAGCAAACATGGTGAATTCATCAGCAAAATTAGATAGATCAGATGGAGAGCAACTAGGAGATATGTACATGTTTGTAATATAGAATTGTTTGTATTTGGGGATATGTTTGGGGCGACATTTGACAGTAATACAGTCAATGAAGTCATTTGAGAAGGTGAAGCAGATGTTATTTGAGACAGACCATTTGGAGTGAATAAAAGTTGCAACGCCACCACCATTTTTCTTATTACAACAGCGACGGTCTTGTCGAAATAAAATAAAGTCCTTTAGTGAGATAAGGTTGTCATCATACAGTTCATGCAACCACGTTTCTTGTAATGCGATTATGGCAGTGTTATGATACGTATCAGTTGACATCAGGGATTGTAGATACATTATCTTATTTGGTAGAGAGCGACAGTTTGAGTCACCGCGAATGCCACACTTCTGATGTATCAGGATCCAACGGCACCGTTAAGTATCTCGGTTGATGCATCAAACACTGCAATGGGCGTTGATAAGGCATATCCCCTATTTGAAGTGGCGCCTCTGGCTTAACCTTGACGGCGTCTGCGCGGCTTCGTTGATTCGAGTTGGAGCTAGTCGTCCAGCAAACGCAGTAGACGCGATTTCGGTGCTTATTTTGGTCTTGTTGGATGAATTTATATGGAAATTATTGTTCGATATTGTTCTTGAGCATTTACTTATTGCTTGTGTGACAGGACGCTTAAATACATGGTTCATGCAGTGATTTTTGGCATGCCGAGTAAGCTTCGCGTACATTTCAACGACTGTCATTCGATAAATTTCTTTGCAGATTGGCGGAAACTTGTACTCGATCTGAAATTTCCCTATCAGCTATTGTGCAGTACCTATAACTGCTGCAGGAACCGAAGAATATGGTTGATATCAAATTTGTGCACCCTTCCGCATTTTTGTGTGGTGTTTTGATAGCTGAAAGTCAATAGAATGCATGGATACAAGGAATAATTAGTGTTCACAAGTGGGCAGAAACTGCAATATGTTTTACGATCACTTACAACATCCAGTGTTTTCTGCCAAAATTTTTAAATGAGTTAAATGCACACTGCAACATTTTAGTAACTTGGTGGATTTCAATACCATCCTCGTGATCAGGTACATGAAGACATCTGACGTGTGCGTCACTTTGTCCTATTAGTGAGTTTGGTTTCATAAACTTCCGATTTTTGTTATTGTCCTGACGCCACATTATTCGCGCTTGTTCGAAGTTAATTCACAAAATTATTTTGAAACCACGTAGAAGTAGTGTCCGACATCTCTTAAAGCTATGGACGTACGGTTTAGAAGTGGTTGCTGTATCCATTTAGGGAAGGCTCATCGGTTTCTGCAAGTAACGGCTACGCATCATATTCCTAAATGCCTCCAGAAGCAACAGAACCTTCAGAAGTTATTAATGGGGTCCCAGCTCCTCTATTTCGAAACATATTATAGTGACAGGACATAAAACTGGCGTTTGCACATTTTTTAAACCTATCTGTAAAACGTGTTTGGATTGCATCCTAAAGTTTGTGGAAGCCGAAGTGTGATTAGGAAGTTTAAACCACTTTTGTGAATTCCAAGACTATTCGTCACCACACGAAACCTTCTTTGTTAAACTTCGTTTTGATACTAGTCAGGGTAGATGTACTAGTCTCTCTGATATTTGGTTCAGTGGTCTTCATTGTTATTTTGACCTCCAATATGTGGTTTTAATTCCACCTAAATTTATTTTCTAAACTTTTAATTGTATTAATCTCATATGTATTCCTATAACAAGTCCATGTGTGACCAGGTTGTCCAAAATGTGTTGCACGAATACAACACTACACGACTCAGACAGATTACGTCTTCTTATTACTTCGTCTAAATATTCACTTGTGTCAAAAATAGTGACTGATGTAATCGCACATCGATATAAACTTTCATTAATTCTTACTGTGCTATCTCGTTAATATTATACTGGTAGTCATATTCATGTATACATCCTGTGAACCCTTGTTTTCTTTTTTAGATAATCTGTAGTCCCAGTGACCTCGTGGGATTCGTTGCTGAAGAAAGTGGTTTCCAGTACCGTTGATTTTGTATTTTGTGTCGAATCACTAATAAATGTATTCTCTATACCTCAAATAGACATTCTACTTGTTAATAGTCACTACTAACTTTATAGAATGTTGTGAGCTACAGAGTTATGGGGTTAGGGTCATGTGTTGTATTGAGTAGCGCGTTTAGAAGATACGTCCGCCCCTGAGGAATATTGTCGTCAATATGGAGTACATTCTCGTGATAAATCTGTTAGCAGTAATTATTATCAGTACCTATATTTCGTATG